AAATATATATATATATATGATTTTTAAGAGAGGTCGATCGCATCCGCACAAATGGGCGAGAGAGGTATATTAACGGGTGAGCGAAGAAGTTTGGGAAACGCAACGAGATGAGAGAGAGAACTTTAGAGGGGGGTGGGGGGGTGGAGGGGTGAAAGAGACGAAATGGACGGAGCGATCCTTTCGCGCTCGACGGACGTGCGGCGAGAGAGGATGTTTATTGGATGTAAAAAGTGACACATTGTAAGATACTATTGTAAAAAGAGGTTTTAACTTAAAATAAATTAAATGATATAAATCACGCATACACACCGACCAATCTTTAATCGAATATTATGTGATTATAGATGTGTATATGTACAATGTATAGCATTTACGATGCTCTCTCTCTAATTCTCTTTCTATTCCTCTCTTTCTTTCTCCGTCTCTCACCGTTTTTCCTTCCTCTCATCGTCTCTCTCTCTCTCTCTCTCTCTCCCTCCCTCTCTCTTCTTCTTCTTTCTTCTTCTACCTCCTTCTTTCGCGCTTAAAAAACCGTCCGTATTCTTCTGTCCTGCTGCCTCGACTTAACACACCTGATTTATTCCCGCAGAATCGCATCCGGTTGTTTTTTCTGCCGATCATCGATACCGCCGATAACACCGTCGCGTTATCAGAGAACACCGACCGTGAATTTTCCTCGACGACTCGAAATCAATGCGCGACGTCTCGAGATCAACGCGCGACGGCTGTTCTTTAATAAATCAGACGCGCTGCGTAACTACAGGTATTACGGAATTATTAATGATTTTATTCTCTCGTATACACGTTTCTCTCTCTCTCTCTCTCTCTCTCTCTCTCTCTCGTCGCGAGCATGACGATGTTGCATCGTTATCTCGGACGACGATGTCGCGCCCACGAAATAAATTTCTTTTCGAGCTTCAGGCTCTCCGGGTGAGAAAGAGAGGGAGAGCGAGAACCCGGGGACTCTCAATCAATCACGCGTGCCGATAATAATATCGTTACGGAATTATTAATGATTCCATTTCGCCCGCATCGCGGCGCCGTAATGTCATTATCGGGCGAATATGTCGCGAGGAAAATTCTTTCGGCGTTCAGAAACAATGGCGGTGCTGTGTGATAAATCGCGCGACGCACGCGATTGCCGATCGGGTCGTATTGTTCCGGCACGCTGTCGATCGACAATACGGACACATTGGAAAAATTCTATCAACGTCGTCCGTAGGAAAAACGAAACACGCGAGAGCGAGGATTGTGTGTTTTTTTTTTAACGACTAGTCATAATTAATCATAAGTGGCGTCAAAAGCCTGTTAATGTTTCGTTTTGTTTTCAAAGACAATATCTGTTTACTAACGTATTTGAGCAAGCACGTTTCTGCATGTTTCAACGTCTTTCGTAATAGCAGTAACGGAATAATAATCTTGTCAGAAAATACCAGTCTCGAAGATAAACATATTCATTATGTTATAACATAATTATTATGTTAGCGCACACAAACATGATTCGGTGTTGAATCTTCTTTTAAACAGTAAAAGGATATTTTTTTCTGCCACTTGCA